CCAGGACAGCTGGGGCTATAGGGAGACCCTGTCTCAAAAAGACCAAAAAAAAAATATATATATATATATATATAATTTAAATTTAAGAATAGGGCCATTGGGGCCAATGACATGGCCTAGTGGGTAAAGGTACCAGCTATGCTGGCCAGGCTTGGTGGCACACACCTTTAATCCCAGCACTCAGGAGGCAAACAGACAGATCTCTGTGAGATCCAAGGCCAGCCTGGTCTACATAGTGAGTTCCAGGCCAGATGTGGCTACAGGGAGACCCTGTCTCAAAAAGACCAAAAAAAGCCACGTGTGGTGGCACATGTCTGTAGTCCCAGCACTTGGGAGGCAGAGGCAGGCAGATCTCTGAGTTCAAGGCCAGCCTGGTCTATGCCAGCTGGGGCTACAGGGAGACCCTGTCTCAGAAAAAAACAAAAACAAAAAACCAAAAAAGGTACTTGCCTGATGACCCAAGTTCAATCCTCAGAACTGACTCCATAATGTTGTCTTCTGACTTCCACATGTACACCTTTATACACATATCAGAGGCACACACCAAACAAGCTGAGGCATCTACCTCCTAGACTGAGAAGGACTTATTGAGACCAAGAACAATAAACTTGCACTAAAACCCAGCACATGCATCAGTGTTGGACTAGGCAGCACCTTTGACTGCTGAGGACTAACCCTTACTCTCTAACTCCCCTACCCAGAGAAGCGTCTACACCGCCTGAACCTCCTGCAGTCTCACCCCCAGGAAGTGATGTACTTTCAACCGGGGGAACCACCGAGCTACGTGGAAGATGACCACATTCCCTTCCTCCAGAGAGGTACTTGCAGGAAGGGATGAGGGGTAGGGGTACCAGGAAGACCTTCCAAGAGCTAGGGACTGCTGGCAACTTGTTTAGTCTTGATTTCCTCATTTGTAAAATGGGGTAGACTCAGAGTATTGAGGGCATCAAATTTGCAAAGAGATGTCGATTGGCCTTGCAGTACCAGTACACACCAAATAAGAAATGCCCTCCTAGGCCAGCCATCTCGCTCCCACTCCACTGATTGCTTCAGGGAGTGCTTCTCTGCGTGGGTGCAAAACTAGGTACCAGATGGACTGGAGAGGCGACTCAAGGGTTTAGAATACTTGCTGTTCTCCCAGTGGACCTAGGTTCAATTGCCAACACCCACAAGGCCACTGTGCTGCCCTTTTCTGATATGCAGTCATGGCCTCAGTCCACCTGCCTCTGTGGACACAGGGAAGCATTCAAAGGCAGGAGCCCAATGTAATGCTGGCTCGAACCTGGTGGCTTTGGATCAAATCCTGAATGTATTGTTTACTAGAGGCTAGAGCATAGGTTAATCACAATGCCTGCCTTTCTGTGCTTCAGTTTCCACAACTAGAAAATGGGGGTAAAAGATGGATGTGGTAGGACAGGACTAGTCTTAGCAAGAGAGTTATTTGAGCCCATGAATTTGAGACCAGCAACTGAGTGTAACTTAATGGTAATGCCTTTGCCTAGAATCCTCCAGCGAGGGGTTGGGGGCATGGCTCGGTGGTAGAGCCCCTGCCTAGAATCTCCCAATGAGGAGCTGGGGGTGTGGCCCAGTGGTAGAGCTCCTGCCTAGAATCCCCCAGTGAGGGGCTGAAGGTGTGGCTCAGTGGTAGAGTCCCTGCCTAGAATCCCCCAGTGAGGGGCTAGGGTGTGGCTCAGTGGTAGAGCACCTGCCTAGAATCCCCCAGTGAGGGGCTGGGGGTGTGGCCCAGTGGTAGAGCACCTGCCTAGAGTCCCCCATTTGGGGGCTGGGGGCATGTCTCAGTGGTAGAGCACCAGCCTATTATGTTTAAAATGTTGAGTTTGGTCACAGCACTGAAAAAATAAAATGAAATAAAACGGAAAGCCTGAAAATGAGATCATCCTAGGCAGCTTAGTATGGGTAGACCCTGTTTCTAAACAAATAGACAAACAAGATTGAGTAAATGAGGGTCATGATAGTAGGGATCTACCTTAGATAATTTATTGTAAGGATAAAATTTGTGTTTGATAGCCTTGGACAAGGCTCTGGAATATAGCAATCACAATACAAGAACTATTAAGAGAAAGAGCCTAGGGCCTGGAGTGTACTGGCTGCAGAGAGAGAGTGAGACGCCTAGGTACCAGAGATGTGGCTTAGTTGGGAAAGTTCCTGCCTAGCATGCATGAAGTCCTGGGTTCCATACTGAACACGGACCAAACTGGATGTGGTGGCATACATTTGTAATCTCAGCAGTGGGAGGTGGACACAAAGGGATCAAAACTTCAAGTCATCCATGACTAGATAGTCTACCAAGTATCTACCAAGGAAATTCCAGAATACCTTTCTGCAGTCTTTACAGTTCATTAGTTTTTGTTAAACTGTTTGTCTATTAGTTTTGTTCATTAGTTTTCTTTTTGTTTTTTTCTTAAGCTTTACAGACTGATTTTTATCTCAAGTTCAATTAAGTGTTTTACATTGTCTATACAGCACAGGTGAAGGGACACTGGGGCTGTAGGAGAGAATAGAAAAATGATGAAAAACCTCCTGATGCCTGGGGATGGGAAAGGGCCAACATCAAGGCCTGGGTGCCCAGGACCCTGTGTGGAGTCAGGACCATAGCTGGCCATCAAGGGATATGGGAAATCCACTCTTGAGAACCAGTCTTCCCAAGACTTGACTGCAAATAACAGAAACTTCCTGTCCCTAGCATAAGCCTAACACAGAGGTAAAGCCACTGCGATGCACAACCTGGGCCTTGAGGATGGGGGTTGTGGGGAGTGCAGCCAGCCACTCAGAGAAGGCTGAAACTGCTGTCCAACATCATGAAGGCTTCCATTCTCCAGTCTGCTCTGCCATCAGCCCACCACCAGAGGAATGTGGAACCACGGCTCACAATTGGGGACTATAGCTCTAGGTTCACGGGTACAATTCTTTAGTTTTGAGGTCTTTAGTTTTGAGGTCTTTGGATTTGTTATGCAAACAATAGTTTAAATTTTCTTTTCTTTTCTTTTTTTTTTTTTTTTTTTTTTTTTTTTTTTGGTATTTTTGATACAGGGTCTGCCTGTAGTCGCAGCTGGCCTGGAACTATGTAGACCAGGCTAGCCTCCAGCTCACAGCGATCTGCCTGCCTCTGCCTCCTCAGTGCTGGGATTAAAGGCATCACCATGCCTGGCCTTAGTTTGAATTTTCAAAAAGATGTGATGATGCACACCTTTGATCCTAGCATTTGGGAGGCAGAGGCATATGGATCTCTTTCTCTGTGAGTTCCAGGGCTACATGAGACTGTCTCTAAAAAAATGTTGCTTTTTTTTATTACACTTATTTACTTTTTTTTTTTTTTTTTTTGAGATGGTCTCCCTATAGTCCCAGCTAGTGTGGAACTATGTAGACCAGGCTGGCCTCGATCTCATAGAGATCTACCTGCCTCTGCCCCTGGAGTGCTGGGATTAAAGGCATGTGCCACCATGCTCAGCTTATTTATTTACTATGTTGTGTGTGAATGGGTGTGAGTGCGCCATGGCACATGTGTAGAGGTCAGAGGAAAACTTGTAGGAATTGGTTTTCTACACAGTTTGAGTTCCAGGGTTTGACCTCAGGTTGACAGGTGCCTTTTCTGGCCCAGCCATCTTACCGGCCCTATTTGTCTTAAATGATATGTACCCATGCACATTTCAAATCAGTCTGTGGGGGCTGGAGATGTAACTCAGTGGTAGTGTGTTTACTTAGTATGCTTAAGGCCCCAGGTTCTGTTTCTAGCACCAACTCCCCACTACCCCCCAATAGCAACAACAAACCATTGTTGAGCATCCATACAAGTACCAGCATAGAGTATCTGGGGGTGGGGGGTCTCTGGAGCTGCAGTGGATTGCAGCAGGCTTGACTGAATCTCTCTTCCCCGTCAGGGGTCCCGGTGCTGCACCTCATCGCCACGCCCTTCCCCACTGTCTGGCACACACCTGCCGACACTGAGGCCAACCTCCATCCACCCACAGTGCACAACCTGAGCCGCATCCTTGCTGTGTTCCTAGCTGAGTACTTGGGGCTCTAGCCTTGCAGGCTGATGCCTTGAGGGGACCTTAACATGGAGAAGCCCCCAGCTGGGGACATGCCATGGGTATGTAGAGCCAGTGGAGAACAGCCAGGCCCACCTCAGCTGTGTTACAACTGTTGCTTCAAGAACACACAAAGGAACACTGAATGCTGACACAGCCATAGAAATACAGTTTGGCCTCTGTCATGAGGTAAAAGCCTGATCTGGAAGCTTCCAGGGACCAAATGCTATGCTGTGCCATGGGCTGGCACTTGGACCAGCACCACCGACCAAATGAATCCTGTGTGGCCAAGGCTTTAAAGTTCATTGGCCAAAATGACAGCCTTGCTACTAGCATGAGTCCAGTCCTGACTCCCCAGTGGGCATGGGCTCAGATCTGAGGTCAAGGATGGTCGCTGACTTGGAATGCCACATTCTGTCTGGCCCAGTGTGCAGTAAGCTATGTTAAACAACATTCCCAAGGTAAGACAACAGTAAACAAGTTTCCTCACTGCACAAGGTGAATCTGCCAGAGTAAAACTGGTTCTCAAAGTGTCTCACCATGGAACCCCTTTATTAGAAAGTATTTCAAAGAATGAGGGACCTCAGAAGATATTTTGGAAATCACTGAGTTTGGCAGGTTTGAGATTTGTGGTGGGAATGGATTAAACAAAGCCAGATCTACTGCAAAGCAATTACCCCAAACCATCTTTTCCTTTCCATTGTGTGAACAGCACTGGAGATGGTGGTGTGTACCTGCAAGTCTAGTGAAAGGTTATTCTCTTTTTTTGTTGTTGTTGAGATAGGGTCTTCCTGTAGCCACAGCTGGCCTGGAACTTGCTATGTAGACCAGGCTGGCCTGGAACTCAGAGATATGCCTGCCCCTGCCTCCCAAGTGCTGGGATTAAAGGCATGCACCACCACACCTGGCCATATTTTCCTTTCTTTTTAAATTTATTTTTATTTTATGTGTATGAATGTTTTGCTTTGCATATATATGAAAGTGTACCCGTGCATGCAATGCCTGTAGAGGCCAGAAGAGGGCATCCGATCCCCTGGAACTGGAGTTGCTGAAAGTTGCTAGCTATCATGTGAGTGCTGAGAATTGAACCTGGGTCCTCTGTAAGAGCAGCCAGAGCTCTAAACTGCTGAGCCATTTCTCCACTCCTTTTTTTTTTAAGGCAAGAGCTAAATGTATAGTCCTGACTTGGCTGGAACTATGTAGCCCAGGTTGGCCTTAAACTCTCAATCCTCTTGCCTCAGCCTCCTGAGTGCTGGGCTAACAGGCTTTTGCCACATCATACCCAGCAAGAGGTTATTTCTCAACTCTACCTAATCTTCTGAAAAAAAAAAACAAAACAGATTCCCCAGGCCTATCCTAGACATACTGAACCAGGACTATGGGAGGGGCTGAGACAAAAATAATAAACACTTGCAGGAATCCTTCATCAGCTGAGTCTGGAACATGTTATCCTTAAGGCCACAGTTTGGTAAGTGCAGTTACTTAGCAAACCCACCCAAAGAAAAACTTAGATTGCCAAAGCTGGAGGGCAGCTTGGCAGAGTAGCAGCACTTGTTTAGCATGCACAAGCCCTAGTTTTCAGTAGAGGTGGAATGTGGCTTCCTGGTCAACTGCAGCAGATTTAATGGAACCCAGCACTGTAACTCAGGATATAAAATGATGAAACTACCAGGTGTACTACCAAAGGCCTGCTATTCCTGGCTCACAAGGTAAAGGCCTGCCTGGGCTACAGACTGAGTTCAAGGCCAGTGTGGCAACTCAGTGAGACCATGTCTCAAGAGGGCTGAGAATGTAGCTCGGGATGATTGCCTAGAACCCCCCAGTGAGGGGCCATGGCTGTGGCTCGGTGATAGAACTGTCTAGAATCCCCCAGTGAGGGGCTGGGGTGTGGCTCAGTGGTAGAGTGTTTGTGTAGCACTTGTGGCCCTGGGTTCCATCTTGAGCATCACACACACAAACACACAATTTCAGTCTGTATAAGACAAATAGAATACATAAATGAATTCTGTGGACTGGTGGATGGCTTGGTGTGTGGAAGTGCTTATCTTATCATGTAAACCTGATGACCTGAGTTTGATCCCTATGATAGGAAAGAACTGACTCCTGAAAATTGTCCTCTGACTTCTACATGTATGCTATGCCATCCATGCACCCACACTCACATACCATACTCACATGTACAAAATAATGATAAAAGAATTTTATTTTTGTTTTTTTGTGACAGGGTTGGTCTCACTATGTAACCTGGCCTGGAATTCACTATGTAGATCAGGCTGGCCTTAAAGTTACAGAGATCCACCTATCTCTGCCTCCTGAGTGCTAGGATTAAAGGTGTGTGCCACCATGGCCAGCAGGATTTTGGTTTTTGTTTTTGGTCTTTTTGAGATAGGGTCTTCCTATAGCCCCAGCTGTCCTGGAACTCACTATGTAGACCAGACAGGCTAGCCTTGAACTCACAATGATCCATCTGCCTCTTCCTCCCAGGTGCTGGGATTAAAGGCATGCACCACCACACCCAGCTTTTTGTGTTTTTGACTTGGGTCCCATCCCCAGTAAATCTCATTATAAATGTCTATACAAAAATAGAGGCTGGGAAGTGGCTCAGTGAGAAGCCTATGTTGCAGACATGAGGACTGAGTTAGGATCCCTAGTTCACACATAAAGCCAGGTGTGCTGGGGCACTTGGGGTGGAGGCAGGGCTGTGGAGACAAGAGCCTCCTTGGAGTTCACTGGCCAGCTAGTCCAGCCAAATAGAATTCCTAGTTTAGTGAAAGACCTTGTCTCAAAAATAAGGATCAGCCAATATAGTCTTACTGGTGAGTTCCATGTCTCAAGAGAGGTGGATGGTGGTCCTAAGAATGACATCCAGGATTACCCCCTGGCTTCCACATTCATGTGCACACACATGTGCATGCACGCCTACACAGATGTGCACCCACACACATAAACAGCTTTAGAGGAATCAACTGCCTAGGGATTCCCATAATTGAGCCCCTTCAAAACAATGTGTCTAGGTGTATAATTCTTTGAGTGTGTGGTATATGGGGTTAGGGTCTCATTGAGCCTGGAGCTAAGCTAAGCCACCAAACCCCAATGAGCCTGTCTCACTCCCACACATCACAGCAGTGCTTGGGCACTTGTGTAGCTATATCCAACTTTATTAATATTTAATTTAATGTCTATGAGTGTTTTGCCTGCACGCATACAAGTACACCCATGCATGCAATGCCCATGGAGGCCAGAAGAGTGCATTCAGAAGAGTGCATCAGAGCTCCTGGAACTGGAGTTATGGATGGTTAGCTGGCATGTGGGTGCTGGGACCTGAACCAGGTCCTCTGAAAGAATAGCCAGTGCTCTTAAATGTTAAGCCATCTCTCCAGCCCTCAACTTAACTTTTTTTAATGTGGTTGCTGGCATCAGAACTCAGGACCTCATGCTTGTGCCATAAGCATTTTACCGCACTATTCAGATCTACTCCCAACAAAAAAACACCATGATGTCCCACAAAAGCAGGGCAAAATTCAGACCCTGCTCTTACATTCTAAAACCTAAGAAATGAACAATTACTATAATATAGTATCATGTCTGGAAAAAGTCCTTAAGAATGTCAGACTGCTAAGCTCATTTTTATGTGTATGTAAATTCCTGCATGTAGGTATGTGCACCATGTGCATGCAGTGCCCATGGAAGCCAGAAGAGGGAATCAGATTCTCTGGAACTGGAGTTATAGGCAGTTATGTGCACCACCATTTCCTGATCTTTTAAAAAATATATATTTTGGGGGCTGGAGAGATAGCTCAGAGGTTTAGAGCACAGGCTGCTCTTGCACAGGACCCAGGTTCGATTCCCAGCACCCACATGGCAGCTAACAACCATCCGTAACTCCAGTTCCAGGGGATCTAATGCCCTCTTCTGACCTCCACAGCGTTGCATGACATGGGTATACTTACATACACTCAGGCAATACACATAAAGTAAAAATAATAAATATTTAAAATATATATATTTAAAGATATTTAGTTGGATGTGTGGACACATGCATACAGAGGCATAAGACTTTGGGTTCCATGGAGCTGAAGTTACAGGTCATTGTGAGCTGCCTGGTACATGTGTGCTGGGAATTGAACTTGCATCCTCTACAAGAGCAACAAGCACTCAACTGCTGAACCATTTCTCCAGCCCTTTAAAGGTTTTTAAATTATGTGCACGTGTGTGCTGGCGCCCAAGGAGGGCAGAGGCACGGCATCCCCTGGAACTAGTTACAGGCAGTGGTGAGCCACCTGACCTGGGTGCTGGGAACCCAACTTGGGTCTTCTGCAAGAGTAGACAGCACTCTTAACTGCTGCCACCTCTCCAGCCTCCTATCACTCTCTTAAATCTACATATACACAGGGTCTCGCTGAACCTGGAAAGTCCCTCGGGTCCTCAAGGTTTCACAGTGCACCATCTTACTCATCAGGTCATCTCTCTAATCCCCTTGAGTAAATATTTTAAAACTTCAGTAACTCAGTTTTGAGTTAGGTATACTACACCAGGCTACAAGACTACATTTCCCAGCCTCCTTTGCAGCCCTTCTGTATGGCTGAGTTTTGTTTGGAGTTTTGTTATTTTTATTATTTTTGTGTGAGACAGGGTCTTCCTGTAGCCACAGCTGGCCTGGAACTTGCTATGTTGACCAGGATGGCCTCTATCTCTGAGATCTGCCTGCCTCTATCCCTGGCATTTTTATTGTTTAAATTTTTTTTTGATTTATGCATATGAGCACAGAATGTATGCACATATATGTATGTGCACCATGTGCATGCCTGGTTCTTAGGGGACAGAAGGCACCAGATAGAATTACCAGAGAGTTGTTAAGCCATCATACAGGGGCTGGGAACACAACCTGGGTCCTCTGCAAAAGCAGTTAAGTGCTATTAACTGCTGAGCCATCTCCCAGCCCAAGTTTTTTGTTACTGTTTTTTAAGAGACAGGCTTTCAGGTAGCCCAAACTGGCCTTGAACTTGCTATGTAACTGACACTGGCCTTAAAGGCTTATCCTCATCTTCTAAGTGCTGGAATCACAGGCATGCACCACCATGCCTGGCATAGATGGCCGAGTTCTGACCAATGAAAGGCATTCACAAGTATATGCGACACCTCAGGGAGGGAGGGGCTCCCCTTCCTGCAAAATGGGGACAGCAGAAATTCCTGCAGTCATCTCAGACCCCAGTGAAGCGCCATGCGATGATCACCTGAGGGCTCCATTCTCTCCCAACACTGGATTTTGAGAGAAATAAAAATGATCTTGTTGAAGCTACTACTATTTTGAGATTTTAAAATCCAAAGTGACATAGACTTAAAAACCCTTCCAGGCTAATTCACCATGTGAAGCACAGACCCATGGTTCCCTTCTGTCCACAAGCCCCCTTAACATCACACAGACCAGTCTGGGCCCAGCCTTATAAATACTGATTTTATAGAAAGGACCAATCCAAAATTGGCCAGATGCCATACTCTAGAAGCATCCCAAACCACAATGAATGATGGGGGAAAAGAAACAAAACAAAAACAAAATGCAAACAAAACAAAAATACCCTAGACCAAACTCCATGAAAAAAAAAAATCAAGGTCCCAGTCAACAACAACAAAAAAACCTAAAGACTTGTGGCTGGGGTTGAAGAGACACCAATGCTTCAGTGAATACCCAGCCACCTAGAAATTCAGACCCATCATCCTCCTGGCCTGCTCGCCAGCAAGAGCACATCAGGAGGCTTCACAGCTTTACTGGGGGAAGAGTCAGTGGAAACAGCTTAAATAAGTGGGGTCTCTATATTTGAGGGATTTTACCCCTACTACTCCTATAGGGGACAGGGAGAGACGGGTGGTTTGAGGTTAAGAAGAAAATAGATTTTTATTTAATGAGGAAACCATCTAGAAATAATGGGTTGTCACAAAAAAGTGCCAATTCAAGTTGCTAGCTGATGGCCTGGAGGTGCCATCCTGGAAAAGGGGGGAACTGCAGCCTCTCAGGTGAACATAGCTCGAGACAAAAGAACTGGGGGCAGGCACAGAAGGGGGAGGGCCAGCCTGAGAGGGGAACCTCATATGGTACCAAAATTAGCTGCCGTCTGCTCTGCTGGTGGGTCCCTGGGGTGGGCAGGCAAGGAGGGTTCTGGGGCTGGATGGAGGACAAATTGAGATGCTGATTAAAAAAAAGCACAACCCTCTGTGAGGGTCCATGGCCCTGGCTCTGCAGAGTAGAAAATCAACAGGGGTCAACCACGGTATTTACCCAGGTGATCCCCAAACCCGGTCCCAGTTCTGGTGGGGATCTGTGCCACCTGAAATGGTGGATGTTGGTCCTAGTCCTGATCCCCAGCTTCCAGCAGAGTAGGAAGGGGCTGGCTATGGCAGGTGTTCCCAGGCTTCACCTCCCCTCCTCCCGGCCAGCACGCCCCACTCCCACCCCATTGCATGGCAGCACCCAGTTATTGTCATGCAGGCCCAGGCGACAGCCGGGTGTCTCGCGATCTGCTCGGCGGCAGCACATCCAGTAGGAGCGTCCATAAGGCAGGTCATGGTGGTAGGGCTTGGGGTGCCAGCGGCAAAGTGACACATCACCCTTCTCGTATCTCTTGCGACACTGCTTGCAAGGGTCATCTCGGTAGAGTGGGTCTCGGCTCCAGCGAGAGTCCGTGGCTCGCACACCAAATGCCTCGATGATGCCCTTGAAGTGGTGGCAGGTGCACTTGAGCGCTGCCAGGGCCCGGGTGGGCAGGAAGCTGAAGATCTTGACCAGCACATGCTCCGGCAGCAGTAGCATGTACTGTCGTGGCTCCAGCAGACGCTGGATCTTGAAGCGGATTTCCAGGAAGTCATGTGACACGTGCCGGTACAGGCGGCACAAGGAAGTGTCCGTTGTCCCCTCAGGATCATCAGGGCCTGGCACTGTGGTTGGTGCATCAGCTGGGGGCAGCTCAGGGGGCCCATCTGGGCTCCGGGACTGGAGGAAGAAGAGTTGGCCGGGTGGGGGTGGCTCCTCAGGACTGACTGTCAGGCACACGGTCTCTTCCTTCACATTCTTGGTGCCATCCTTGCCAAAGAAGATGCACTCGTCCACCACACCCGTCACTACCACGTCCACGTGGAACCCTGATGCACCACAGTCCCGGGCAGGGGGTGGAGGGGGTGCTGGGGGAGTGTCCTCAGGCCTGGCTGGGGCTGGTGTCTCACCCTCACTGGCTTCGTCTGCCCTAGCCAGCAGGAACTCCACATTGCTGGGAAGGGCATCCCTGGAGGGGCTGATGAGCTGGTACAAGTCACAGGTGATCTTGTCTTTGGCTCGAGCCCCAGGACCCGGGCTACCAGGATAGGGACAACCAGGCCGGCCCCCAACCCCGTTAGGTAAGCTGCCATCCGGTGTGTGGGGTTCTCGACCATTGGAGATGCGGAAAGCAATACGCACCTCTCCAGGGCCAGGACCCGGCCTCTCCTCTTTGCGGAGGCCCTTCATTGGAGGGCTGTCCCGCTGGGCCTCAAAGTGGGCCACTGCCTCAGCCACACGGCTACAGTCGCTGCTGCTTCCAGAACGCCGTTCTGACCCTAGCGCTTTGGCTGGTCCCCCCTGCTCAGCTGACACAAAGACCACTGGGGCTGGGCGTGGGTGGCTCTGCAGGGCCAGAGCAGCTCTCTGTTCCACCAGGGCCACCATTTCAGCCACAGAGAGCAGGTCCATGTCATCCCCAGCTGGGTTGGGGGCCCCTTCGGCAGCAGGGAGTCCTTCCTGGCCCCCTGGATCTGGAGGTGCCTTGGTGGGCTCAAGGCAGCGCCGCCTCCTCTTAGCCTTGGAGCTGTCACTGCCCCAGTGCCCTTTGACCTTCATGGAGCTGGCCCGGCTACCTCCACCACACTGGTGGGCCACAAAGAAGGCCACCTTCTCCTTTGTGTTGCCAGGCTTGATAACATACCATGTGTCCAAGAGGACTCGACCCTCATCACCAGCAGCTGCTGCAGAGAGGAGTGGAGCATGCTGGGTGGCAGGGGCCTCTGCGGCCAAGGCAGGTGGTGTGTTCTCTGAGTGTGCAGGCCCATGGTCCGGCTCAGTCCCGCTGCCTGGCTCTGGGCAGGCTGGCGGCTTGCGGGCAGCAGGTGGGCGTGGCTGGTTCTGGGAGTAGGTGCCGAAGGGCCGGGGGCACCAGAGTTGGAAGGGCAGGAGGCTGCCACGGTCCATTCTTGGGGGTGACAGCAAATAGGCAGGAAATCACTGTATCTCAGTACCAGGATGGTGATGGGGAGCTCCACATGCCACCTGGAGACAGAGAGAAGGTTGGAGAGCTGCAGGAGTAAACTTTGTTCCCAGGACCACCCACCCTTAACATCTGCACAGGGGACAGATCAAATTAGACCACGAAGAACTATAGGCCCGAGCCAGTGAGGTGGTGCATGCTTAATCCCAGTATTTGGGAGGTAGAACAGGAGGATCAGGAGTTGAAGGTTATCCTGGGCTACATGAGATTCCATCCCCCATCCCCCAACTCTCTTCATTGGCTAGGGGCATGGATCACAGCCCCTAGAATTCACCTGCGAGGGGTTTGGGCTGTGGCTCTGTGGCAACCTATTTAGTAGGCTGTTATTGTATCCCTAGCGTGGCCAAAAGAAAAACAAAAAAACCAAACAGTATTCCTGCCCCAACCTCAGGTAAGCAGAAGGATCAGAAATGGCCCTGATTGGCAGCTTGCTCCAATCTTCCACCATGGCCACCTGCTGCCTTGACCTTTAAACTCCAGTCAAAGTAGCAGTGTGCAATCAAGCGCCTCCTTTTTCAATCTGTTCCTCTAGTAGCCAGTTCCTGAAAAGACAGGAATTCCCAGCCCTGCCCACAACTGTGGCTGCTGGAGCCCACAGGAGGAATGAGGTGGGCTGGGCAGGGGAGGAGAATCTGAGGCCAGACAGGACAAGCCCTTAAGAAATTTACACTTCATGCTCCGGGTGTGGTGGTGCACACCTTTAATCCCAGCACTTGGGAGGCAGAGGCAGGTGGATCTCTGCGAGTTTGAGGCCAGCCTGGTCTACATAGCAAGTTCCAGGCCAGCTGGGGCTACAGGGAGACCCTGTCTCAAAAAGACCAAAAAAGAAAGAAATTTACTCTTCATTTATTTTCTTGTTTTGGGTCATGGGGCTCTTTGAGATTTTTGTTTACTTTGGAGAGAGGGGCTTAATGTAGTCCAAGCTGGTCTTGAACTCACTGCAATCCAGTCTTCCTGCCTCATCCTTTCAAGTGCTGAAATCACAACTGTGAGCCACTGTGCTGAGCTTCTCTGGAATTCTCTCAAGGCCCCTCTAACAAGCTGGGGATACAGGTGTGTTGGTACAGGTCCTTGCATGTATGGACCCCTGGATTCAAAAAGTCTTCAGCTCTATCCCTAGTATTGCCTCCCACAAAAGGCTATGTATCTTTTTAAAAAAATGTTTGTGAATGAGTATATTGCCTGCAGATACGTAAGCACGCCCTTGTTATACAATGCCCATGGAGGCCAATAGAGGGCATCTGATCCCCTGGAACAGGAGTTATAGACAGTTGTGAGCTGCCATATGGGTGCTGGGAAATGAACCTTGGTCCTCCCCAAGAACAGCCAGTGCTCTTAATAGATGAGCCAGCTCTCTAGCCCCAAGTACACACCCTTACAAAGGCTGGGCAGGTACTTCCCAGAGGAAGAAACAGAGACTCCTGGGATAAGAGGATCTTTCCAGTCTATGAGCTCTCCTAAAACTGCATGTATATAAACAGGGCAGGGAAGTATTTCATAGAGTAGGGCACAATGGTTTTGGAACCAGTCCCCCACTCCCCCCACCCCCCACCCCAGGAGCTTACTCTGGCCCCAGCTGGCCTAGAACTCACTAGGGAGGCCATGCCACTCCCAGTACTCAACTTGCCTCAGCCTCCCAAGTGTGAGGTATCATAAGCCACCACCACCTGTTGAGGGATCCCTTAATAATGATTCTTTTTCTTTTGCAACAACTTCACATGCATCTGCTCATCACCAGGCTGTTTGGTTAGTAAGTCTGATATGACTATTTTCCATTGTGCTTTCTACTTACCAGTAAGTAGCACATGCCTAGGCTCATCATTCCCTGGCCCATCTCTTTCCAGACATCTCAATAGGAAAATAACCCTCCAGCAGGTATGGTGATGGGGGCCTGTAATCCCAGCACTGGGGAGGCTGAGGCAGTAAGATGGACAGTCCCACACCAGCCTGGACTACACAGTGAGAACCTGTCTAAAAACAAACAAATAAATGGAAAAGGAAGCAAAGAAAAAAATAGCCTCCAAACTTTTAACCTTGAACATGCTAATGGATCAGAGAGGGGAGTAAACTACAGGCTAGCTCACTTCTGTCTTCGTAAAGTTTTATGGAAACATGTATGGATGCCTTCACACTACCAGAACAGAGACACACTGATGATCATATGGTCTGAAATCTTCATTATTTGGCCCTTTATAGAAAAGGTTTGCCGATACTTGTAGGATAGGCTGCCTACTCTAGATCCAGACAATTCTAGATCACTTCATGGTCCTACAGAACACCTATCAAAATCCAGAGAGCCTCCAAACAGACACCAGTATTAGAATCCCTGTCAAGAATCCTTACCTCACTGACTCATCCCCTATCCTCATCTCCTGAGTGTCAGCGCCTACCTCCAAATATCCAGACCTTTTCAAATTCTACTTTAAACCCCTAACCCCAGTGGCACATGCCTGTAATCCCAGCACTGAGGAGGCTGGGATGAGCAGTAGAGTAAGGAGTTCCAGGCTAGCCAGGGCTACACAGAGAAAGACTGTCTTTAAGGGAGTAAAACATGCCAGGCATGGTGGCACATGCTTTTAGTCCCAGCACTCGGGAGGCAGAGGCAGGTGGATCTCTGTGGGATTGACGCCAGCTTGGTCTACATAGTGAGTTCCAGGACAGCTGGGGCTACAGGGAGACTCTGCCTCAACAAAACAAAAATAAGCAAAAAGTAACTTCATATACCCCAAGATGCACATCAATACTCGAATCTCACAGGTGTCTCCACTCTCCAAGCAGCCTCATTCCACACCCCTATACCCCTTCACTCCACAGAAGCTCCTGAACCTACTTAAAGTATCCTATTTAAGACGAATCCCAAACCAAATAAATGTTCCTGGGAGTCAAGAGTCCAGCTAGCAACCCCGCGGATGTTACAAAGGCAGACACGTGGCCAGGGCACTCGCTGACAGCTCCTTAGCACTGTGCTGACTGCGGCTGCTCGGAGCCTCAGGAAGCAGGTAGTCTCTGCAGTTCCTTGCAGATGAGTCACAGAAAGGTAAATGCCCGGTCCCTGGCCACACAGGAAGTCCCCAAGCCCAGACATTCTGTCCCCGGAACCGATACTCTTGATCCTATACCCATCAAACCCTCGGAACCACAAGAGACCCCTAAAACGTAACCGAGCCTCCGACGTTACAAAAGAACCCCAACCCTAATGGGTCCCTTAAGCTCCAGGGAACCCCAGTGTCCCTTCCAAACCCGCAACTTCCCCGAACGCCCAATATCACTTAGATGCTAAGGGCGCCCGGAAATCCTGGACCAGACCCCCGCGAGGGACTCTACCGATCCCCTCGGGTGACCCCCACCCCCCCCAACCTGGACACGCCCCCCCAGGAGCCCTCACCCGCAGCGCCTCCCCTAGGCAGCGGGGAGGAAGGCGACCTCTACGCATGCGCACCAGAAGCCGGCCGGCCCACCCGTCGCGCAGGCTGGCGCGCTTCGCTCCGCCCCTTTGTTGACAGACGCGCGCGTGACGGCCTCACCCAATGAGCGGCCGCCGTTCGGAGCCGTGCCCATATAAGGCAGGCCTTGGCGAAGGAGCCCGGACTCGGAAAACTGGGAGGAGTAGGCGAGAGGTGACCGGAGGGGTGGGCGGGATGGAAACAACCAGAAGTAAGGGAGCGGTAATAAATTCCCAAAGTTCAGCCCAGCCGCACGGAAGTGCCAGGCCCGGACAGAGGCTGCCACACTCAACAGGGAGTGTTATTGCACGATGTTCCCTAGAAACCGGAGCTCTGATTGACACTAGAGATTTAAAGGGCCAGGCGGCCCCAGGACTTGAGAACTCTGGGTAGAAAGCAGCTTGTGGGAGGGCGATCCCAGTCTGCCAGAGAGAGGTTTCCCAAGGGGGCCCAAGTCAACTCTCCTTTAAAACAAAAGCGCGTACCCGGTGTGTTGCCTAACGCCTGTGATCTCAGCACTCTGGGAGGTTGAAGCAGGAAGATCGCGGCGAGTTTGAGGCCAGCCTGGGATATGGAGTGAGACATGACCTCAAAAAGCAAACAAATAAGAAGTCGGGCGTAGAGCCTTCATGTAGTCTCTGTACTCTGCGAAGCTGAGAGCTGAAGAAAGCCTGGGGTACAGAGTGAAACATTGCCCACCCGCAAAGGGCTGGAGAGACGGCTCAGCAGGTAAAGGGGCTTACTACCAAACCTGAGCACTTGAATTCAATCCCGGGGACCAACATGGTAGGAGAGAACCGAACTTACCTGCGCTGTGGCATGCATAAAGCCACACACACCCAAATAAATAAATGCATTTAAAAAAAATTTTGAGCAACAGAAAAAAAAATCAAAACAAATTAACAAGCTGGGCCTGCCTCACTTCTATAATCCCTGCACTCGGGAGGCAGAGGCAGGAGGCTCTCTCTGAGATAGAGACCAGCCAGGGCTACATAGTGAGATAGATCAATCCACATGTGGGCAACCTAGTCCTTGGGAAGTAGAGGCAGGAGGAAAAGTTCAAGAGCCTGGGCTACATACATAGTGAGATGGAGGCTGGGCAACTTGAGACTGTCCAAAACAAAACAAAACCAAAGGACAAGTGGGCAAGTGATGGCACTGCCCTGTGATCCTAGCACTGAGAAGGTGGAAGCAGAAGGATCAGGACTTCAAGGCCAGCCTGGGCTGAAAGAGATCTGGTCTCCAAACATCAAATTCAAAACCAAAGGAATGCACAGATCCTTGTGCAGGTCCTATCTCCAGTCTAAGCTTGGCATTCAAGGCTAAGGTGGCAGGCTTTGGGGACTTAAGCAGTATTCCCAAATCTGACATATTACAGGAAAACAATAGGAAGTGACTCAATAATAACTTTAAGTATTGGTTATTTGCACTTAAAATGACAGACAGCTTACATTACTTCTGGTCTATGCCAGGCTGAATGAAGAAAAACCCAAAGGTGACTTTGGTGCAGTCCAGGTGGCCTGCTGTTCCCTCACCACCCTGCTCCAGCCTCGGATGCTTCCATCTGCCCCTATAGAGGACAGCCAGAAGAATCTCTGTTATAAAGCATAAACTGGGAGCTCAGCGTGGTAGTGCATGCCTGTAGTCCCAGCACTTGGGAGGCAGAGGCAGGTGGATCTCTGTGAGTTTGAGACCAGCCTGGTCTACATAGTGAGTTCCAGGACAGCTGGGGCTACAGGGAGACCCTGTCTCAAAAAGA